ACCACAGACACACGGCTCCCTGCGGCAGAAATGGTAGGCGCAGGGCTTCAGAGCCGGCGAGTGGAGCGCGCTGAGGCGACGGATCCATCCCCTGCGCAACGACGGCCGCCCAACGCCTGGATCAGAGGTTCAGCCTCATCCAAGAAGTGGACAAGGGAGGTTCCGCAGGTCGTGTGGAAAGACCTGGAATCCAGGTTTGGTGAGAGGTCAAGCTCTTTCTGAACCTGTTTCCTTGTGAAGCAGGGGCCACTTGGTTCTCAGCTGGTGATGGGTGGCTCCATTTACTACCTGATCTTGACCTGATTTCGGGGCCTCCTCTGAGAGCGGCACGAGGACTGGCTGCTTTTCCTCCTGGATCAGCTCAATCCGCAGAGCCTGGCGCTCTTTATCATTGTGTCTTTGGCTGGAAACCTCGCTGTGGAGTTGAATTCGTTCCCTTTTGTTCTCTGACTCAAATCAGATTGTCCCACACTTGTGCTGGAGTGAGGGAAGGCGAAGTGTCTTCCCAAGGGATGAACTTCTTGGTTTTCAGAGAGATGATAGGTGTCAGAGGTAGAGACAATATAGGGCCCAGATGAAAAGGTGAGGGGATATCAGGAGGTAAAAGCATCGTGCAGTCAGCTTTGTCCTGTGCCCTCCTTGGATTCACTGACTGTGGCTTGTTCTACAAGGTGACTCAGAGCAGAGAAAGGTGGGCTGGTTGTTGGCCCTGTGGAGCTTTCCGGTGGTGAAGAACTCTTTCCAAATTTCTTCAGTTCAGTAGCGACCCCAAGGATGGCAACACGCCAGGCTTCCCTGTCTATCACCAAAGCCTGGAGTTTCTTCAAACTCATGTGCATTGAGTCAGTGATGCCATCCAACCATCTCATGCTCAGTCACCCTCATCTCTTCTTGCCTTCAATCTTTCCAGCATCAGGGATTTTATGCTGAGTCAGCTCTTCCCATCGGTGGCCAAACTGTTGGACCTTCAACTTCAGCATCAGTCCTCCCGAAGAACATTCAGGACTGATTTCCTTTAGGATGGACTGGTTGGATCTCCTTGCAGTCCAAGGGGCTCTCAAGAGACTTCTCCAACACCACAGTTTAAAAGCATCAATTCTTTGGCACTCAGTTTCCTTTATAGTGCAACTCTCACATCCATACATGACTACTGGGAAAACCATAGCTTTGATGAGATGGACCTGTGTCTGGAAAGTAATATCTCTGCTTTTTAATGTGCTGTCCTGGTTGGTCATAGCTTTTCTTCCAAGGAGCAAGCGTCTTTTAATTTCATGGCTACAGTCACCATCTACAGTAAGTTTGGAGCCCAGAAAATATTCTGTCACTGTTTCCATGGTTTCCCCATCTATTTGCCATGAAGTGATGGGACCAGATGCCATGATCTTTGTTTTTTGAAGGTGGAATATTAAGCCAGCTTTTTCACTCTCCACTTTCACTTTCATCTAGAGGTTCCTTACTTCCTGTTGTTTTCTGCCATAAAGGCGGTGTCATCTACATATCTGAGGTTATTGATATTTCTTGCAGGAATACTGATTCCAGCTTGGGCTTCATGCAGGCTGGCATTTCACATGATGTACTTTGCATAGAAGTTAAATAAGCAGGGTGACAACATACAGTCTTGACATACTCCTTTCACAATTTGGAACCAGTCTGTTGATTCATGTCCAATTCTAACTGGTGTTTCTTCACCTGCATACAGCTTTCTCAGGAGGCAGGTAAGGTGGTCTGGTATTCCCATCTCTTGAAGAATTTTCCACAATTTGTTGTGATCCACACAGTCAAAGTCTTTGGCATAGTCAATAAAGCAGAAGTAGATGTTCTTCTGGAACTCTCTTGCTTTTACTATGAACCATCGGATGTTGGCAATTTGATCTCTGGCTCCTCTGCCTTTTCTGAATCCAGCTTGCACATCTGGACGTTCTCAGTTCACATACTGTGAAAACCTCACAGTGAGAATGTTGACCATTACTTTGGTTAACATGTGAGATGAGTGCAATTGTGCAGTAGTTGGAACAGTCTTTGCCACTGCCTTTCTTTGGGACTGGGATGAAAACTGACCTTTTCCAGTCCTGTGGCTGCTGCTGAGTTTTCCAAATTTACGGGCATCTTGAGTGCAGCATTTTAACAGCCAGGCCTCTATGTCCATCACAAGAGTTTTTTGAATGTTCTTCCTAATGACCCTGAGTTATAAGTAATGCAGTCTGTCCGGGGAGATTGCTTACATACAATTGCTTGTCCTGTGTGAGCACCAGGCATTGTTCCAGGATCTTTTTAAAACTTTGTTTTCTTGGCCTCAGGTACTTTCTTCATAAAGATACCCCGATCATTACTCTGCTGAGTACTTGAGGAGACCCATTCATATCCCAGCATTCTCTCTCTCTCCCACTCTCTCTCATCACTGGAGTTTTCTTCGTGTTTCTTTTAATTATTATTAACTTTTATTGGAGTATAGCTGTTTTACGATTTGTTAATTATGATGTGTTAATAGCACAGTGAATTGGCTATACATATACATGTATCTCCTCTTTTTTGGATTTCCTTCTCATTTAGGTAACCACAGAGCATACAGTAGTTCCCTATGGCATACAATAGATTCTCATTTGATAGTTATTGTGTACATAGCATCAATAGTGCATATAGGCAAATCCTAATTTCCCAATTCCCCCAACTCCCCTTTCCACCTTGATATCCATACCTTTGTTCTCTACTTTGTTTTTGGAAATAAGAATCACTGGATCTTTGTCCTGTGAACTCTAGCTGATTGCTCTCCACCAACACTCAGCTTCATCTCCAGAGTCAATCCAATGGATTGACCTCAAATCCTCCTCTTGGTGCCCAGCCTGGGAACTCACTGAAAGCAGGAAGCTGGGCCCATGGCAAGACTCACCTTGTTTGTTGGTCGCCTCTCAAGGCTTGCCATCCTTTGCTGCCTGAATTCCTGTGTCTTAAAAACCAGTATTTCATGTTTTTTGTCTTTGATTCCTTTGGAAGTCTGACAAAGGGGGAGAGTGAGATTTAGGAAGGAGGGTTAATCTGATTTCTGTCACTGCACCTTTGCTAGAAACTGAAGGCATCCTATATGCTCTTAGTTTTCCCTAAATAAATGTTCTAATTTATATTCCAATGTATTTTGCCAGCTCAAGGAAAGAGTCTTTTTCTTCATGGTCTTGCCATCACAAGAAATTGTCAATAGTCATGTCTGTTACTCTAACAAAGGAATTTGTGCCCTACTGACTCAGCTTAGCGGGAGGTACATTGGAAAGACAATGTGTTCATCTCCCAGAGATCGCACATACTCAGCAGCTAAACTTCCAAGCTGATCGGAAAGTATTCTAAGAATTGTAACTGTTTTCAGTGGTGATCCAGTAATTCACTCCAGAGAGGACCAGCCAGAATGACTCTGGAGAGCCTCTGGCAGACCAGCTTATGCATTACAGGAGTTAAAAAAAAAAAAAAAAGCCCACGGGTCCCAGACATTTCTCCTCTTCCCTTCCCTTTATGAGTTGTATTTTTGCTTTGGTTGGATGCACACAATCTAATGAGGGGTCTCCCTCCAATTTACCGGTGCATTTCAAGCCTGAGACTGTCTCCGAATGATATCTCGACAGTATGTGGCTACATCTGCAAAAATTATCTCATTTGAGACAAATTGGTACAAGCTACAGAATCCTGCACCGATGATATATCTTGTGCAACCTGGATCCTGAGAGTTCCTGGTTCGCCTTCCACTGGTTCCTCCGTTGAAGCTCATGAGGAAACAAGAGCTCTTTGGATTTTCCGTACTCAGTCGAGGATGTCTCTAGGTTGTAGGACATTTCCCCCTGCCCTTCTCTTTCCCTCTTGGAGTGTATACCCTTCTGTCTCTCTCTGTCCCTTATACTCTACGCTGCTGTGGATCTTACCCATATTCTGTCTTCCTCATCAGTTTTCTGGAGCTGTGCATTGGGAGTCCTTAGTCAGGAAGCACTTACTAGGTGCTCACCAGGTCCAGGCCCTTCTCCTGGAAAACTGCTGAATCAGGAGCAAAGTCAAGGTTCCAGTCCATGGCGCATTCACACCAGGAGGCATCAGAAATAAGACACACACACACACACAGACACACACACACACAGACACACACACACACAGACACACACACACACACACACAGACACACACACACACACACACAGACACACACACACAGACACACACACACAGACACACACACAGACACACACACACACACACACAGACACACACACACAGACACACACAGACACACACACAGACACACACACACACACACAGACACACACACACAGAGACACACACACACACAGACACACACACAGAGAGACACACACACACAGACACACACACAGAGAGACACACACACACAGACACACACACACACAGACACACACACACAGAGACACACACACAGACACACACACACACAGAGACACACACACACAGACACACACACACACAGACAAATAAGAATCACAGCAGGAGAGCAACCTGTCATGTTCTTCTCAGGTTCATCTGCCTGCCGGCGCATAAGGACCCCAGCAGTGAGTAAAAAAGGAATAACATAGCACATGGGAAAACGGGTGACTTGAGATCTAGAAGGCAGGTAACTAAGAATCAGGAATGTTTTTTCAAAAATAAAGGAGTACCTCAGGTAAGCAACAGGTCCTTACTTAGCTTAGAGTCCATGTGTTGTACTCTTCTTCAAGTGACATTATGGCTACATTCAGGAACATCTCCTAAAGGTACCCCCGCATCCTCTTAAGCTGTTAAGCTGTAGCCCTTCTATATAGACTCTATAAAAATATGGGCAGCATTATTTCTACCATAATTAGAAATTCTCTGTGCAAAGATTATACATTAATTCAACGAATTTAATATCAGTCAAAGAACTTAAAGTTAGGGTTCGCCCAGGGAGTCGGGCCCCTGGCCGCCACCGCTACCTCGGCCGTTGCCGCCGCCATCGCCTTCATCCCTCGTCCCCCACCATGGCCGAGGAGCTCTCCGCGGCCACGTCCTACACCGAAGATGACTTCTACTGCCCCGTCTGTCAGGAGGTGCTCAAAACGCCTGTGTGGACTGTGGCCTGTCAGCACGTTTTCTGTAGAAAGTGTTTCCTGATTGCAGTGAGAGAAAGTGGAATACATTGTCCCCTCTGTCATGGAAGTGTGAATAGAAGAGAGAGATCATGTCCTGAATGGGCCTTAGATCTTGAAAATATCATGAGGAAATTTTCTGGTAGCTGCAGATGCTGTGGAAAACGGATTAAATTCTATCGCATGAGACATCATTACAAATCTTGTAAGAAGTATCAAGATGAATATGATGTTTCTTCTATTGTTCCAAACTTTCAGATCTCTCAAGATTCAGTAGGGAACAGTAACAGGAGTGAAACATCTGCCTCTGATAACACAGAAACTTACCAGGAAGTTCTTCTGGGCAGCCTACCTTTAAGTGTCCCTTGTGTCAAGAATCAAATTTTACTGGACAGTGTTTATGGGATCATTATAGCGGTAACCACCTATTTCAGATAGTTCCTATGACGTGTCCTATTTGTGTGTCTCTTCCTTGGGGAGATCCTAGCCAGGTTACTAGAAATTTTGTTAGTCATGTAAATCAAAGGCATCCGTTTGATTATGGAGAATTTGTGAATCTTCAGCTAGATGAGGAAACCCCGTATCAAACTGCTGTTGAAGAATCTTTTCAAGTAAACATCTGAAGGCTGTATACACCTCTGCATCTTTGTACCTGTAAGTGCCATCTTTAAGGAGAAAACTACAGGAAGTCACCATTTCAATAACTTGATGTGTATATGAATAAAAGTAATTCAGTCTATTGTTTAGATTTTTTTAATTGAAAAATAAAGGTGGGCCATGTAAAAACTTAATTCTTTTGATAAGTTAAAAGATAAAGCTTAGGACATTATCTTTATAAACATTAAAAGGATTATATTTCATTAATGGTGAAAAGAGAATCCCTATTGTACTTATCTTTTTTGCATTACATATTCTTTAATTTTTCCTTACTTTTGAAATTTGGTGCAGTTCCTCCCATTGACATTATTGTACACAGGTAACACAGTACCAAATTCTGAATGATGTGATTAATATAAACCTAACAAAACTGAGCCAGTTATTTGAGTTTCACATGGAGACTTGAAGTGCTAAATGAAACAATCCAAAGGAAACTTTTCAAATACAGATTCTAGCTGCAGTATTCAACTATAAGAAAATAGTATTTATATAATATTTAGTATTTTTGAAGACTAGTGAGATTTCTTTAATAATTTTAACTCTTTAAAAACCAAAAGCTCATTGTATAGATATTTCCTTTTTGCTGTTAGAAGGAAATATCAAGAGAAAACTTGATTTCTTTGGTGGACAGTTGGTAATGTCAAATCTAGTTTGTTTGGCTGACTGATTTGTAAGCCTCAAGTACAGTAAGTTGAATTACAGCTCTTTGGCCTCGGAATTTTCAATAACAGAATTGCTGGTTAGCTATGATGAACCTTTTATTAGAAACCTGCAGTTGGTGATATTACATTCTCTCTATATATTTAAATGAGAGGTTTGACTTCATCTCAATTTAGAAATTTGTTCAAAGCTCAAGACGTGTATGTATATATACATGCACTTTTGTATGTGTATATACACATGGAAGCATGCAATTTGTCTGGTTATATGCAGAATTTCTATTAAGATTTCTAAAAGGGACAAGTAATATGCGCTTGATATGTTTATCTGAGTTGATTAAAATTTTGTATGTTACCAAAGTTTTTGAAGTAACAGTCAAATGCTAAGTTGTCTACTTGGCTACTCTGACACCTTAAAAATTGAGTTTACACACCTACACAATTATACGTTTATATGGTGCTCATTTGTTATCTGAAAGATAATGCGGGACTATAGTAGTGAGATGGATCCTACCAGCCACTCTGTTTCACTACATTTTAGTCAAAATTGAGTTCATTCTTGGTATTCATTAATGAAAGTCATAAAATAACTTGTACTAGAAGGCCCAAATCACAGAATAAAGCTGAAGAGTGGATTAGCTGACATTCCATACTAATTGTTTATGCTTTCTTTAAATTAAATAACTAAAAGAACATAAAATCTCAGAAGTAGTTTGCTGCCAATATATACATATGTTGTATAAAAAGGTATATTTTGGTATTGTTAAAACCCTTGTTGACTTTTCTACAGTGAATATTTTTTTAACTTGATTGAACAAAAATGTTAATTTTGAAAAAAAAAAAAGAACTTTAAGTTAATGATGGATCTTAAAATTGGAAATTGAGCCGAATTGTGGCAGATAAATGCAACTTAGAATCACATATTAGATGATAGCTAAAAACAGTTACCCCAAATGAAAAGGGGAATAATTAAATCACTATGATTTTGACAATCAAAAGACTTAACCCTGATTTAAAAGATATTATATGGTATACTTAATTTACTGGGACACATAATTTTAAATTTTATAAATAATAATAAATCTGAAAGTTACCATGAGGTAGTTTTTAGGCCAAAATTTAAAGCAGTGTGGGGCATACCAAGAGTCATCTCTGGGAGCGTGACAGGACAAATATATTCTATGTAATTATACATCAATTATTAGAATTTTCAGGAGTGTTCAAAGTATTTGAGGTTCATCCTTATTATCAACTTGAATTTTATTCTTGTTTGTAGCATGGAGAGCACTAATTTATCTAAAGTTAAACCTTTTTTATATTCCTGAGGTACATTTCGGTAAAACAAAGGGGAAAAAAAGGAAAAAACCTCACATGGTTGCTAGTCACTGAGATTGAAAAGGTGGTTCAGAACTCCGCTTTGGAGAGAGGCAGAACGACGTATGTGTGGGAAAGCAGGGTGCCTCTGCGCTTGAATTCAGACTGGACCTGGGACTGGGTCAAGGCCAGAACACAAGACTAAGCATTATTGTCATAGGGCAGCCACCCAACCGACTGCAGCCACACAGCAGTTCTGGACAGCTTTTGAGAATATGCCCCTCCCTTTGCAGCATTTCCCATCGGGTTCTCTCAGCCTCCGAGCACAGGGAAGGATTCTTCACCCCTGTGTCCTGACAGAACATTTTATCTCCCTGCAGGGCACAGGGAACCAGGCGAGAGCCAAGGGGGCAGCTGCACTGCCTCGGTGGGTTTCCAGCAAAGGAGCGTGGAAGGTCCACGGACAGAGGGGCCTGGTGGGCTAGAATCCAAGGGGTCGCAAAGACTTGGACAAGGCTGAGCCAGTGAGCACGAGCAGCAGGCGGTTCCACCACTCAGACGGAGCCAAAGCACACCTGATTGTCCGCCAAAGCAACCCTCAGGAGGCAGAGGGCAGCCGGTGCCGCAGAGGGCGGAGGATGAAAGCCTGGACACTTCTGGAAACTAAGGGCATGAGTGGCCTACAGTTGAGAAAGACCTGAATAGAACTCCAACTAGGCAATCGTTGCAAACAGCCCCTCTAGAGCGGCATTGGTGGTTCAGTGGTAGAATTCTTGCCTCCCATGCGGGAGACCCGGGTTTGATTCCCGGCCAATGCAGTATGGGCTTGTTCGTTTTGGGCTTCCCTGGTGGCTCAGAAGGTAAAGAATCCGTCTGAGGAGATACAGGAGACCTGGGCTGGGAAGATCCCCTGGAGAAGGAAATGGCAACCCACTCCAGTATTCTTGCCTGGAGAATCCCATGGACAGAGGAATGCTACAGTCCAAGGGGTGGCAAGAAGTCCAAAAGGACTGAGCGACCCAGAAGAGAACGGATTCCAGGTTCCGGAAGGGCCCAGAGGGCTCTCTTCCGGACGGTAAAGCTGTTCCCTGGCCTTGGAAGACAGGTCTCACGGAAGTTAGCTTTGAGAGGGACGGTAAAGGAAAGGAACAATCCTGAGATATCCACACATTACTACCAAGTGATGTCATAACTCTTACATAGAGAAAGAATGTGATGGCAACTGGGCACTTAGCTACAGAATATAGGATGTTAGTATTCTTGCTAACTTTTGGTATCTTAGAAAAGCTTTTGCTTTGGGTTTTGAATGAATTTTTGGAACTGAAGCCTCACATTCTCTTTGAATGGAAACTCTGTTAAGTAAGACTCTGAGTTGACCATGCCAGGAGAAAAGAGTGGATGCCAGGAGAAAAGAGTGGAGGCCAGAGCTGGCCAGCCCAGGCTGTTCATGGCATCTGAGCTCCAACAGCCAGCCTGAGGTCCAGGACCCTGAGGCGCAGACCCAGCGGCATTTAGAAACTCTGTGCAGAAATGTTCTGCACTGGACCTTTAAGCAAAATACAGTTCTGATCTGAGCAGGAAGATGGAGACTGGTGTGAGTAGAGACACTGGAAGAAAGAGAGTTTTCCCTGACCGGGAATCGAACCCGGGCCGCGGCGGTGAAAGCGCCGAATCCTAGCCACTAGACCACCAGGGAACTGTAGATAAAAACGCTTATTTGGTTCCCAGGACGCGCGGCGCAGGCGGCGCGGATCGTCGGGAGCCGGTTTGCTGCCGGAACGGGGTCCCGGCTGTGCCTGTGCAGCGGTGCGCTCTCGGGGCGTCAGCCGAGATGAACACGGTGCTGTCGCGGGCGAACTCGCTGTTCGCCTTCTCGCTGAGCGTGATGGCGGCGCTCACGTTCGGCTGCTTCATTACCACCGCCTTCAGACAGGAGCGTCCCGGTGCGGCTGCACGTCTCGCGGATCATGCTAAAAAATGTAGAAGACTTCACTGGACCTAGAGAAAGAAGTGATCTGGGATTCATTACGTTTGATATAACTGCTGATCTAGAAAATATATTTGATTGGAATGTTAAGCAGTTGTTTCTTTACTTATCAGCTGAATATTCAACAAAAAATAATGCTCTGAACCAGGTTGTCCTTTGGGACAAGATTGTTCTGAGAGGTGATAATCCGAAGCTGCTGTTAAAAGATATGAAAACAAAGTATTTTTTCTTTGACGACGGAAATGGTCTCAAGGGAAATAGGAATGTCACTTTAACCCTGTCCTGGAATGTCGTACCAAATGCTGGAATTCTACCTCTCGTGACAGGATCAGGACACGTATCCGTCCCATTTCCAGATACATATGAAATAACGAAGAGTTACTAAATTATTCTGAATTTGAAACAACATATTTTTATACCTAATGAATTGTATCTTGTTTCTCTCTTCTTGCATCTTCATTTGTTTTGGGTTAATTTTTTTTTTTGGTGTAAGAATGAACATCAGAAGGCATATTTGAAGGGAAAGACTAATGTACTACCTAATTTTCCAAATAAAAACAAACAAAGGCCACCAGAGTGGAGTATTGTAAGAGTAAGACAGCCGCATCAGAAGAGTCTGTGAAGTACTTGTATTTGAAGTCGTTGCTGTATTTCCATTATTCTGGATGGAATATGAGTGATCATGAAGGATAGTAAATACTTTCAGGTGCCTGTGGAGTTGGGAGAACTCTATTTAAGCCTTGCATTCATGCAGGCTCACATTGGATGTGATTTAGAAGCAGATACTTTCTTTTATCTCTTTTAGGGTATATTTCAATACTGGAAAAATTAATACACTTAGTAGTGAGAAGCCTGGTTTACAAAACAGCCAAACATGGAATTTTATTCCATTTGTCTTAGGAATGCCCAAATGCTTGTTTTTCTGACAGGTGACTAGCAGCTTTCTCCACTAAAGACTAAATACCTCTTTAAATGCAGTAAATCATTCTCAAATCATTTTAAAGTC